TGTATGTGGGGGAGACAGGAACGGTGTGTGTGGGGGAGACAGGAACGGTGTGTGTGGGGGGAGACAGGAACGGTGTGTGCGGGAAGAGACACGAACAGTGAGTGGTGGGGAAAGACAGAAACGATGTGTGGGGGGACACAGGAACGGTGTGTGGGGGAGAGAGAAACGGTGTGTGTAGGAGAGACAGGAACGGTGTGTGGTGGGGAAAGACAGGAACGGTATGTGTAGGAGAGACAGGAAAGGTGTGTGGTGAGAAAAGACTGGAACGGTGTGTGTGGGAGAGACAGGAACTGTGTGGGGGAGACAGGAACGGTGTGTGTGGGGGAGACAGAAACAGAGTGTGTGGGAGACAGGAACGGTGTGTGTGGGGAAGACAGGAACAGTGTGTTGGGGAAGAGACAGGAACAGTGTATGGGGGAGACAAGAACAGTGTGTGCGGGAGACAGGAACGGTGTGTGGGGGAGACAGGAACGGTGTGTGGGGGAGACAGGAACGGTGTGTGGGGGAGACAGGAACGGTGTGTGGGGGAGACAGGAACGGTGTGTGGGGGAGACAGGAACGGTGTGTGGGGGAGACAGGAACTGTGTGTGGAGGAGACAGAAACTGTGTGTAGGGAAGACAGGAACGGTGTGTGGGGGAAGAGACAGGAACGCTGTTTGAGGGAGACAGGAACGGTTTATGTGGGGGAGACAGAAACGGTGTGTGGGGGAGACAGGAACGGTGTATGTGGGGGAGACAGAAACGGTGTGTGGGGGAAGAGACAGGAACGGTGTTTGAGGGAGAACGGAACGGTTTATGTGGGGGAGACAGAAACGGTGTGTGGGGGAGACAGGAACGGTGTATGTGGGAGAGACAGGAACGGTGTCTGCGGGAGACAGGAACGGTGTGTGGGTGTAACAGTGCAAGTATTTTGCACTCTTTCATGTATAATTGTGAGTTGTAATTGTGGGTGGGTGTGTGTATATATGCGTATGTGCATGTTGGGGTGGTGCGAGATGGTATGAGGTGAGGTGTTGACTAGCTTCAATCCGCTGACATGGCAGTACTTATCAAAGAGCCCGTTGTGGAGACTTGGGAGAATACTCACTCCTGGCTTGGCCAAAGAGGTGTGTTGAGCAGTGAGAGTGGAACCTTTGCAAGGGAGAGTACATCCAACCAGCTCCTACATCCGGGCGGGTAAATTTGTCATCACCCACCCCTGGGTGAACTTGTTAGTGAGGTATGAGTGTCAGTAATGCATTGTCTTTATTGGGTGTAGTAGTGTTGACTAGCTAGTGGAGTCGGAACCATTTAGCTATGTATGGTTTGGGCGTGTATGGAGTGGGTGATCCCCCCCCCCCTTTTAATTTGGTCAATATTGTATTAAATAATAGAATGTCAAAGTGTTAAAGATCAATTGATGGAAATTGAAATAATTTGTTAATAAATTTCTGTGTGTAGAAGAATAAACTTGGCTATTGTTTAGTCATCTTTTTTAATCAAAGTTCCCTCTAGTAAGAAATAAGGCTAAAGAGATATCTAGATGAACACGTGAGAGGTGGGGGAGACAGGAACGGTGTTTAGGGGAGACAGGAATGGTGTGTGGGGGGAGACAGGAACGGTGTAAGGGGAGACGAACGGTGTGAGGGGGAGAGACAGGAACGGTGTGTGGGGGGAGACAGGAACGGTGTAAGGGGAGACGAACGGTGTGTGGGGGAGAGACAGGAACGGTGTGTGGGGGGAGAAAGGAACGGTGTAAGGGGAGACGAACGGTGTGTGGATGAGAGACAGGAACGGTGTGTGAGGGGGAGACAGGAACGGTGTGTGGGGAGACAGGAACGGTAAGGGGGGGGGATGGAGACAGGAACAGTGTGGGGGTGAGAGAGGAACGGTGTGGGGGTGAGAGAGGAACGGTGTGGGGGGAGACAGGTACGGTGTGTGGAAGAGAGAGAAAGGAACGGTGAGTGGATGAGAGACAGGAACAGAGTGTGGATGAGAGACAGGAACGGTGAGTGGGGGGAGACAGGAACGGTGTGTGGGGGAGACAGAAACGGTGTGTGGGAGAGACTGGAACGGTGTGTGGGGGAGAGAGGAACGGTGTGTGTTGGAGAGACAGGAACGGTGTGAGGGGGGGGGGGTAGACAGGAACGGTGTTTGGGGAAGAGAGGAACGGTGTGTGTGAGAGAGACAGGAACGGTGTGTGGTGCGGGGAGACGAGGAACAGTGTGTGTGGGAGAGACAGGAACGGTGTGTGGTGGCGAAAGGCAGGAACAATGTGTGTGGGAGAGACAGGAACGGTGTGTGCGCAGAGACAGGAATGGTGTATGTGTGGGAGACAGGAATGGTGGGGGGGGGGACAGGAAAGGTGTGTGGGAGAGAAAAAACGGTGTGAGGATGAGAGACAGGAACGAACGAACCCGACTCTACCGTCGGAGCATGGAGCAGCGACATCAACGCCATCTGTGAGTCCGCTCCCGAAACCTCCACAACTTGGACGACGCCATTTATTAGTGACAGGACTATACCAGCCAGAAATGCTAGATTCTTGTCCTAGTAGCTCGAGAGGTAGCTGGGGCTGACCTCTGGTGAGGTGGCGCCTAGAAAATCAGCGCATTTATTGAGCGAAAAGGTGTACGTTTATGCAGGGTCCGTAAGTGCTATTTCCTAGTGTCCCAGTGTACTGATGAAGTGTCTGTATTTACAGAGCCGACGTAGGGCTGCTGTGATACGAGGTCAGTCTACCCAGGGCAGCCAAGGTCACTACACCAGTCTGCTTTACGGAAGCAGTGAGCCGCCGCCGGAAGAGAACTGTGAAGTGTTCTACTGTCTTCCTGTGGAGTGGCAGAGACGGGATTCGCCGCACCCGGGGCTGGCTAATAGAAGAGACGACTGACTAAGGTGCTGAAGAGGAGATTAACCAGCGAGTTGCACGAAGCTCCTGCCTAGGGCTCGCTACACTAGTATTTGCACATGAAGTGGCCCAGCAACGCGAAGCTGAAGGTATCTGCCAGCACCGGGCTGGACTGTGATTGTGGGCCTTCACGAGGAAGCTCTTAGTGAGCTGTGGTTTGGCTGGCCCGTGGCCAGGGGTAGACTCACTGTTGTTTCCCGGTACCTGATAAGGACCGTTCTACGGATGAGGAAACATGATAGCTTACAAGACTGGATCGCCAGCATCGAAGAGCGCTTAGTGTTCCATGAGACACTTTTGTACATATTAGGTGTACTAATACTTTTGTTAGGATTATTTACGAGGTGATGGAAAAAGTTATCATATGTAAAATATATCGACATTTTATGAAGTGTATTTTATTTTACTTGCATTGCCGAGCTCACTCCTTGAAAGCCACTACTTACTTGGGGCCGGATACCAGAACTTTAGAACCACCCGAAAAGAACCCTGTTGCGACCCATTGTGACCGTAACAGGGGGGGGGGGGCAGGAACGGTGTGTGGTGGGAGAGACAGGAACGGTGTGTGTGTGGGAGACAGGAACGGTGTGTGGGGGAGACAGGAACGGTGTGTGGGGAGACAGGAACGGTGTGTGTAGGGGGAAGACAGGAACGGTGTGTGTGGAGAAAGACAGGAACGGTGTGTGGGGGGAGACAGGAATGGTGTATGTGGGGGAGAGAGGAACGGTGTGTGTGGTGGGAGACAGGAACGTTGTGTGGGGGGAGACAGAAACGGTGTGTGGGAGAGACAAGAACGGTGTGTGGGGGAAGGAGGAACGGTGTGTGTGGGAGAGACAGGAACGGTGTGTGTAGGGGAGACAAGGAACGGTGTGTGTGTGGGAGAGACAGGAACGGAGTTTGGTGGGAGAGACAGGAACGGAGTTTGGTGGGAGAGACAGGAATAATGTGTGGTGGGGGGGAGACAGGCACGGTGTGGGGGGAGAAAGAAATGGTGTGTGGATGAGAGACAGGAACGGTGTGTGTAAGGGAGACAGGAACGGTGTGTGGGGGAGACAGGAACGGTGTGTGGGGAAGACAGGAACGGTGTGTGAGGGTGACAGGAACAGTGTGTGGAGGGAGACAGGAACGGTATGTGGATGAGAGACAGGAACGGTGTGTGGGTAAGAGACAAGAACGGTGTGTGGATGAGAGACAGGAACGGTGTGTGGGAGAGACAGGAACGGTGTGCGGGGGAGACTGAAACGATGTGTGGGGGAGACAGGAACGGTGTGTAGGGAAGGCAGGAACGGTGTGTGGGGGGGAGAGAGAAACGGTGTGTGTGGGAGAGACAGGAACGGTGTGTGGTGGGAGGAGACAGGATCGATGTGTGTGGGAGGGACAGGAACGGTGTGTGGTGGGGGAAGACAGGAACGGTGTTTGGGGGAGAGAAAGAAAAGGTGTGTGGTGGGGGAGACAGGAACGATGTATGTGGGAGAGACAGGGACGGTGTGTGTGTGGGGGAGACAAGAACGGTGTGTGGGGGAGAGGCAGGAACGGTGTGTGGGGGAGATACAGGAACGATGTGTGGGGAGAAAGGAACGGTATGGGGTGCGAGACAGGAACGGTGTGTGGGGGGGGGAGACTGGAACGGTGTATGTGGGGGAGACAGGAATGGTGAGGGGGGAGACAGGAACGGTTGGTGGGGGGAGATTCAGGAACGGTGTGTGGGGGAGACAGGAACGATGTGTGGCGGAGACAGGATTGGTATGTGGGGAGAGAGGAACGGTGAGTGGTGGGGAAAGACAGGATCGAGCCCACAACCGTTGTGGGCTCCCCACAACGGTTGTATGCTCCCCACGACGGTTGTGGGTCCACACTACGGTTGTGGGTCCTCACGACGGTTGTGGGTCCACACGACGGTTGTGGGTCCCCCACGACGGTTGTGGGGGCCCCCACGACGGTTGTGGGCCCCCACGACGGTTGTGGGCCCCCACGACGGTTGTGGGTCCACACTACGGTTGTGGGTCCTCACGACGGTTGTGGGTCCACACGACGGTGTTGGGTTCTCACGACGGTTGTGGGCCCCCCACGACGGTTGTGGGGGTTCCCACGACGGTTGTGGGGCCCTTACGAGGATTGTGAGCCCCCACGACAGTTGTGGGTCCCCACGTTAGCTGTAGGTCCACACGACGGATGTGGGGCCCCATGACGGTTGTTGGCCCCCCACGATGGTTGTGGGTCCCCACGACGGTTGTGGGCCCCCACGAAGGCTGTGGGTCCACACGACGGTTGTGGGCTCCCCACGACGGTTGTGGGCCCCCACGACGGTTGTGGGTCCACACAACGGTTGTGGGCTCCCCACGACGGTTGTGGGCCCCCACGACGGTTGTGGGTCCACACGACGGTTGAGGGCTCCCCACGACGGTTGTGGGCTCCCCACAACGGTTGTATGCTCCCCACGACGGTTGTGGGTCCACACAACGGTTGTGGGTCCTCACGACGGTTGTGGGTCCACACGATGGTTGTGGGTCCCCACGACGGTTGTGGGCCCCCCCACGACGATTGTGGGGGCCCCCACGACGGTTGTGGGCCCCCACGACGGTTGTGGGCCCCCACGACGGTTGTGGGTCCACACGACGGTTGTGGGTCCTCACGACGGTTGTGGGTCCTCACGACGGTTGTGGGTCCACACGACGATTGTGGGCCCCCCACGACGGTTGTGGGCCCCTCACGACGTGGGGGAACAGTGTTGACTGACGGATCATGTATGCACAGTGATGACTGACGGATCATGTATGAACAGTGATGACTGACGGATCATGTATGAACAATGATGACTTTTTTTTTGCAGGGATATTCCTGCGTGGGCCCTAAGCCTCTGACTGGCTCACTAAGTGTTGCTTGTTTCTGTTTTACTTGGGCGGAGTATGAGTATTTATTACTCGTATGGTCGCTTCAGTAAGATTTTGCCATATGTGTTTAACAACTTCTTCTGCTCTGTTGAATCTAAGTTGAAATCTTAATGGGTTTGTAACTGTGCACTGTGTTAGATAATATTCCAGTGGTCTGTCGGGCATTTCTCCACAGTGTTGACATTTCCTCTCATCTTCCGGAACCTGTAAGCCTGTTTCCCATGCACATGGGTATCCAAGCCTGATGCGATGCAAGTGCACTTCTGTTGCTCTACTGCTCCCTTTCATCAAACTAAGTGGTTCGTAGTTGGTTGAATTCTTGTACCAACCCGCAGATCCTGATGTTGCAACTGATGTGTTGTGGTCACTGTACATCTTTTGCATTGCTCTGTTTCTAATTACTTTCTTAATCTGTGATAGACTCTGTGGTATGTAAATGTCTACATTTCTTCTCTTAGTTGCAAGTTTTGCAGCTTCGTCTGCAATGTCATTTCCTATTATTCCCACATGACTTGGCACCCAGTTGATAAGTACTCGTCGGCCTTGTCGTTTGAGTGTTTGCATTAATGATATGACATTTGTGATCAGATGTATGTTATCACATATGTGTTCTTGTTGCAAGGTTTCAATGGCGGTTCTCGAATCTGTATGTATGATAACATGTTGTCGGTGTTGAGCAAGAGCATGTTCCAAAGCCTTTTGAATGGCTAGCATCTCTGTTTGTAAAGTCGAACACCCATTTGAGAGCCTCCAACTATTTACAGAGTTTCCTGCTTTAACTGCAGCTCCGGTTTCTTGTCCCTGCTGGTCTACTGATCCATCTGTGAAGTAAGTGAAGCGTTCGGATGCCATGTTTGCTTCCATATGCATCTGTGCAATGTTACGTAGCAGATGAGGATTTGTCTGGTTCTTTTTTCCTTCAATAACCGTAATCTTAAAGTCTGCTGGCGGAGATTCCCAAGGGGCTTGCATAACAAAGTCTGCATGTATTTCGTCGACACCCTTCTCAGTGACTGTGTTTGTTATATCGAATGTATTGATGGTGTGTATCGCACAATGGGTCCACCTGTTGCTATCGGGGGCTCTTCTGTCCAGAGTTAGTGCTCCAGTGATTATATCTTTAAGTGAACTGATTCTAGGTCTAGTCAATATATTGGTCAGCATGCACGCAGCGATCCCTTTTACCCTTATTTCAATCGATGTTAGCTTGGTTTCTAGTCTTAGGTTCAGTATTTTAGTCCATCTGGGAGCTCCTGTTATGATTCGCAATGCATCGTTTTGAATAACCTCAACGTTTGCCCACTGACTAGGAGAAAGAGTGAGTAAGGGAGGCGCTGCATAATCAACTAGGGAACGAACGGCGTGTATGTAAAACATTCTTAACACTTTGTGTCCCGCTCCTAGACGGGGCCCTGTGATTGCTCTCATTATATTTAGTCGTGATTTTGCTTTCTCCTTTAGATATTGAATTTGCTTGTTGGATGTCATTTTTAAATCTATCTACACTCCGAGATATTGATATTGTGTAACCCACTGAAGGTTAATGTCTTGAATGCGTAGGTGCCTGTCTGGAGTGTTGCCGCCTAATCTCATTGCCTTAGACTTCTGTGCAGATATTTTTAGCCCTAAAACGCTGCATTCAGATGTTACTTTATCTAATGCACCTTGTGCTTTATTTAGAAGTGAAGGACCTGTAATGACTAATGCTATATCATCAGCATAGTTTAGCAATTTAACCCCTTCTGTAAATGTCATGGTAACAAGGTTTTCCATAAGGATGTTAAAAAGACTAGGACTGAGGACTCCACCTTGTGGAGTCCCATTCTCATGCAGGTGGTAGTCCGACACTTGTCCTTGCAACTTTACTCTGGCATACCTGTGACTTAGGTAATCTTGAATCCATGCTACCATTTTTCCCTTTACACCTTTTTTAACTAAGGTGTGTAAAATTGCTTGCGTGTTTGCAAGTTCGAATGCTTTTTCTAAATCAAGGAAGATCACTATAGCCGGACCCGAGTTAACTGTTCCTAGTAATGTTGCTATGCAGTTGGCAGTACCTACTCCTCTAGTGAAGCCAAATATGTGTTTATGAAGGTCTCCAGTCTTCCACAGTAGCCTATTTAAGACCATCCGTTCTGCAGTTTAATGATGACTGACGGATCATGTATGAACAATGATAACTGACGGATCATGTATGAACAATGATGACTGACGGATCATGTATGAACAATGATGACTGACGGATCATGTATGAACAATGATGACTGACGGATCATGTATGAACAGTGATGACTGGCGGATCATGTATGAACAAGAATGGCTGACGGATCATGTATGATCGGTGATGACTGACGGATCATGTATGAACAATGATGAGTGACGGATCATGTATGAACAATGATGAGTGACGGATCATGTATGATCGGTGATGAGTGACGGATCATGTATGATCGGTGATGACTGACGGATCATGTATGATCGGTGATGAGTGACGGATCATGTATGATCGGTGATGACTGACGGATCATGTATGATCGGTGATGACTGACGGATCATGTATGATCGGTGATGACTGACGGATCATGTATGATCGGTGATGACTGACGGATCATGTATGATCGGTGATGACTGACGGATCATGTATGATCGGTGATGACTGACGGATCATGTATGATCGGTGATGACTGACGGATCATGTATGACCAGTGTTGACCAAAGATCAACACCAATGTCGGCAACAGGTACACAGGGATATTTTGACGAGCAACACCGAAATATTTGATAGATACAATGACAACAGAAGATTAGACATCAGTGAAGTGCTTCATATCAAGAAATCTAGACCAGCGATCAATAAGCGGCTAATACACAGTTACACTCTACCCACTTTTAAGACCCCGGGCCAATGCAGAAGCTGGACAGAATTACCCTACAACAGGAACGGCAGCAACCAGAAGAACATAAACTGCCAACATGTCAGTCTTAATTTGCTACCCCATTAATATCCCGTTATACAGGACCCCATAATACAGGACCCCATTATACAGGACCCCATTATACAGGACCCCATTATACAGGACCCCATTAATACCCAATGTATGTCATTCATCCATGTCATCTACCACCTCACCATTAGGGGAAATAATCAGGTGCTACACAGAATTTATCTTTAAGAATTTGAGGCGAGACCTTATGAAATACATCACTAGGCATTAGACCCAAATAATAAGGAATAATGAACTTTAGAGAGTTTATTTTTAATCTTCCTGCTTCTGTGAAGAAAAACATGAGGAATATTGAAAAGATTCGTCCCCTCAATCATAACTCTAAACCTTTCTCTCGTTTTCAACGAAATATAACTATATGGGATGTGATTTAACAACTTTAAGAACAAAAGTAACGCGGAAAAATTAATAAACAATATTTTTAACACGTGGAATATAAATATAACTTCCAAATATAACACAACTGGCCGTTCCTCGGTGGCATGATTGGCTTAGTTGTCCGTCTGGCTCTGAGGCGGCCGGTCGAGCCCTGCCCTGCCAGCGGTCCTTGTCAGGGTGGGCTGACTGCTGACCTTAGCAGTCTGTGTAGGATGTGCGTGTGTGCTGACCTTGGCTTAACTGTCTGGGTGGGATGTGACTGCTGACCTTAGCAGTCCGTGTAGGATGTGCGTGTGTGCTGACCTTGGCTTAACTGTCTGGGTGGGATGTGACTGCTGACCTGGGCTTAACTGTCTGGGTGGGATGTGACTGCTGACCTTAACAGTCTGTGTAGGATGTGCACGTGTGCTGACCTGGGCTTAACTGTCTGGGTGGGATGTGACTGCTGACCTTAACTGTCTGTGTAGGAAGTGCGTGTGTGCTGACCTTGGCTTAACTGTCTGGGTGGGATGTGACTGCTGACCTTAACAGTCTGTGTAGGATGTGCGTGTGTGCTGACCTTGGCTTAACTGTCTGGGTGGGATGTGACTGCTGACCTGGGCTTAACTGTCTGGGTGGGATGTGCGTGTGTGCTGACCTGGGCTTAACTGTCTGGGTGGGATGTGACTGCTGACCTGGGCTTAACTGTCTGGGTGGGATGTGCGTGTGTGCTGACCTGGGCTTAACTGTCTGGGTGGGATGTGACTGCTGACCTTAGCAGTCGTGTAGGATGTGCGTGTGTGCTGACCTTGCCTTAACTGTCTGGGTGGGATGTGACTGCTGACCTTAGCAGTCGTGTAGGATGTGCGTGTGTGCTGACCTTGCCTTAACTGTCTGGGTGGGATGTGACTGCTGACCTTAGCAGTCGTGTAG